AATGCATTGATTGCTTTCTCTTAGGCTCACAGTGTCTCTAATTATTCCATATACTTTTTTGTAAATCAAATCAACAGCTTTAGACTCAGCAGAACTGGTTTTAGGGGAAAATAGTGCCTTAGAAATGGAAAAACCATGTAGAGTAAATATTAGAGACAATATAACATTTGTTGAATGAGTGAATACATAGGAAACATTGGCTCTCTAAACAGTTTCTCTGTGCTCGTTCCCTTCTTTCAGCTGTACGTGTTGTGGGTAGTATATCATGTCTTCTATACATGTCTCCACTGTGTGTGCCCGTCCGCCCGTAGGAGCCTCCCAGCATATGACAGAACTATGAAGTGGGGCACATTTTGAGTCATTTCTCAGCTCTGATTAAAACAAAAATTTTTTAGCACAAAAGAGTGGCATTTTTTTATTCTTTCTTTTTTTTTAATTGTGATTTGGGTGAAAGTTTACAGAGCAAATTCATTTTCCATTCAACAGTTTATACACATTTTCTCTCCTGACATTGATTACAATCCCCATAATGTAACAAGTCTCTTCCCACTTCCTCCCTACGGTTTACCTTTTCCTTGTTCCTTCTTTCCTTTTGCATTCCAGCTCTCTGAGCTTATCCCTTTGCAAATGCTGCCCTTTTAATCTCCTGTGGTTGATTGTTCTAAGGAATTTCCCTACCTGGTGTAATTGTTCATTTTGTAGGCCTGTCTATTGTTTGGCTGGAAGCCACGGGAGTGAGTTCAATTCTAGGCCCAAAAGGTTACTAAGGGCCATAGTCTTGAGGTTTCAGCAGTCTCTATCAGACCAGTAAGCCTGGTCTTTTTTTATTATTGAGTTTTGCTCCACATTTTTCTCCTACTCTATCCAAGATCTCCTGTTTTGATCCCTTTCTGAGTGGTTGACATTGGTAGCCAGTCACCATCTAGTTCTTCTGGTCTCAGGGTTATGTAGGCTGAGGTTCACATGGCCCGCTAGTCCCTTGGATTAATTGTTTCCATACATCTTTGATTCTCTTAATTCTTTGCTCTGGATAAGGAGAGGCCAGTTGTTAGATCTTAGATGGCTGCTTGCAAGCTTTTAAGACCCCAGAGCTACTCAGCAAGGTAGGATGTAGAACAATGTTTTTTTCCAGTGAAGAGCAATGTCAGGTAGGAGGCTGAAAGACAAGCTGTCTTGTGTGAGTTAATAACTCCTCTTTTCTCTTTTCCCATCTGCACCTGGTTATTTAATGATGTAGCTTTCCACTACATCAGGAGGAAGAAGTAATTACCAACCTTTGCTATCACTGAAGCTACTGCGCTAACATTTCACTTGTTTCTGATAAATCGGTCAGTTTAAAAATGAGAGCATCTCTCAGAGAGTCCGACAGGCAATTCTCAATAACTGTTGTGTGGCACAGAAGCATTTGCCTTTACCCTGGCATTGTTGAGGGAGGAATGTAGAGTTGTTGAGCCCCCTGTCTTTATTTTGAGGATTGGAGATGACAGGGAAATTAATTTCATATCAAGGAGCTGTATGTTCTCAGACATACCAGAACTGAACAGCTATGATCATTCTTCTAGTCACTTAGGCAGGGTGAACTTTTAGTCTATATCAGTTGCCTATATTAATTTCTCACTTTCCAGAAACAGATATTCATTTTGATCAACTGAATATTCTCATAGAGTAGAAAGAGTCAAAGTCTTATACTGTAGTACTTGTAGGTACTTGTTTCAACATATGCCTATGAAATATTATTACATGCTATCATGCCATATGGGAGCTCTGGTAGCATAATGCCTAAGGTACTTGACTGCTAACCAGGAGGCTGGCAGTTCAAACCCACCAGCCAATCCTTGGAAGGAAGGTTGGGCAATCTAGTTCCGTAGTGATAACTGCCTCGGAAACCCAAGGAGGGGTCACTGTAAGTCAGTTCCAACTTGAGTAGGGTCCGACTTGATGGCACATAACAACAACAACAGCATCATGTCTTATACCAAGAAAACCAAACTCACTGCCATCAAGTCAATTCTGACTCATAGTGACTAGCATTGGGTTTTCAAGGCTCTGTTTCTTTAAAGAAGCAGACTGACTCATCTTTCTTTTGTGGAGTGTCTGGTGGGTTCAAATCATTGGCCTTTTGATTACCAGCTAAATGCCTTAACCACTACACCACTAGAGTTCCTTACCATGTTATATAGGATGAAAATATTTATGATTTGCCTTAAATACAGGACATAAAACCTGATGAGGAAAAGGAAGAAATATGAGAAATTTGTTTCTTAGTTTGACTGTATTTGAGATCCTTGAAAATCTTGTAACTCTTATGTTTTAGGGACATGCATG